GGACCGTCGGTGACCGGCTGCAGGTAGAGACGATATATATATATATAATGTAGTAGACATTCAAATCGGGTCATACTACTTCCTTAAAAATATGGCACCTTGAACTTCGACCCTCTTGCTCATATACCTGCTGCACAAAACATTGTGGGCCAGAATAGCATGCATGGTGCAAAATGCAACCAGATGTAGTAGAACATCCTGCTTTTGACATAGTATGTTTTTAGACGTACTGTTTCTTTGGAACACAGAGTATGTTTGCTTCAATGTAGGGATTTTTGACATCATCATATGGAGCACACATTTCTTAGAGTTCTGACACTGAAATAAAACAACGGCCAGCAATACAAGTGACCTAAATGGTAAATGAAGAGGATTTGGGACACAGCCCTGGACACTGGCACACAAACACACGAGCAGCACCTTGATGTACTTGTAGGACTTCAGTTCGCTGACGTTCTCCTCCAGGAAGAGCAGATACAGAGAGAGATCGTCCCATTGGTTGGCGGGGTTGGGCAGGACGCTCACGGTGGGCAGCGATTGGTAGGTTTCCAGGAAGCGGGCGTGTCGGGTGCAGAAGAGGGGACGGGCGGCGGCATAGATCACCGCAGGAATCAGCACGATGAACAGGACCAGGTTGACGAGGCTGGAGAGGAGAGGAGGTATGACGAGGAGTTCCTCTACTATCATAAAAAATAATTTAAAAATGACCTCAAATCCAAACATTCAGTAATAACCAACGACACATACCTCAGCAAAGAGAAGACCCCCACCGCGATGAGCTTGCAGTGCACCTTTTCGGGGACGCTCGGGTCGGAGGCGAGCAGGCCGACACGCAGCTCGCAGCTGAACTCGTCGGTGACGGAGGCCAGGCGGAGGTAGTAGCCCAGGTAGACGCAGGCGCACAGCAGGGTGACCAGAGTCAGGCCGCGACACAGCAGGTAGTGCAGCAGCATCGACCGCGAGCAACGCTTGGTCATCAGAAACTTCTCCACCAGCGGGTACTTGAAACAGCCCTCGGTGGGGTCGCTGGGTCCAGAGAACACAGGAGAGAGAGAGAGAGAGAGCACAGTGGAGGATGATGAAGCGATTTCATTGATTAACTTAATAACTGTTGGGACTTCATTATATGGTTGGAACAAAGGGAGTTGGGCCTACCTGGCAGTTCAACAGCCTGATTTGAGTTTAATCACACGAGGCGTTAAATCTCACCTATGTGTGATTTTTGGTCCAATCCAAACACTGGGGTCTCATTGGACGAGGGCCACAGGCACCACAGGGGCTCCCTGTGCTACGGCCCTGACGTCAGTTAGACTATAACAATCTGCACTACCTACAGCTCTGGGCCATCCCACACGATTCGATTTGCATTCAAGGGGGCGCAAACATTATTGATGCTTTAAAGAAAACCTAGGAATAGTTTTAAATTCTCTGGTCGAACAATAGACTGTTTTGGATCTGAAGGAGAAGCGGATAACTTGCCCTGTACTCCACCAACTCTAACCTGCAGAAGGAAGAATCACATTCTTCAAACACGCTCCTGGCAGATCCCAACATAACTATAGCAAGACCAAGAGAAGAGAAATGGAGCATCTTTAAAAAGGAAGCAAAAGTTCATATTTCCTCCTCAGAAGTCCACGTCTCTGCAAATCATTAACAAACATATCACCTCGAATTCTAACCGTAGTTCCCTCTATGGTTAGAATTCGATTTATATCCGGGATTAAACTCTGAGGATCTTCTTCTCATCTGCATATTTGAAGGGCGTTATTTATCTGTAAAGTCCAGTAAACACATACAAGCCAATACACAAAATACCAGTCCTTATGGAACAGTTCACCAGTGGGGAGAAGGCCTGACACCGTCCCAGTGTGGTGACATTTAAATAATCAGTAGTGTACGAAATACCCTGCATTTTTTAAAGTTATGTGTGTGCATGCGCTTCTGTCAACATGTTGGGTCGAGTCCGGGATTGATTTCAAGAGAATTGTATGTAATAAGCTGGTGTTCCAGGCCCCCCCCGTACCCGTCTGGGGTGAGCAGTCCTGAGGTGTCCATGCGTTTGGCCAGAGTGACAGCGCAGTTGTAGCTCCGGTCCAGCTCCTCCATGATGAAGCCCAGGTCTGACTGCAGGAGGGGCGCCGCGGAAAATCTCCAGAACAACGCCGGCATGTACATCAGCACGGCCACCAGCAGCAGAATGTAGGGAAAGAACTGGAGAGGAGAGTAAGTAACAAATCATATTCTAGGCAATGACATTCCTGCTCATACAACGGTGGATAGAAGAGATGCAAACTCAGACAAACAGCTGTCCAAGTCCACACCAAAGCACAGGATTCCCTGTTCTGTCTTTAGCTGATATGGGACGATTGCTATAAAGTTTATAGGTTTTAACAGAGAGCAGACAGACAAACGAAAATGATCTGAATTCAGGTGAAGAAGAGCCTTATTCTGAGTCTTATTTTGATGCAAAGATTTGCACATGAGCAGGAATGTAGCACAATGTGAAAGCGAAAGCAGCGCTCTGCTCATTTAAACGTGCAATCAAATATTTTATCTCAGCTGTCCCGAGCTGGAGAGGATACCAAGCTGTAAATGATCTTCCACTTTACTGTGTGTGTATGTGTGCACTTTACTTAGCTGTGCTGTTCTAGTCTCTACAGTCAGATCCTTTTTAGGAATGTTAAGAGACACACACCTAACAACAACTTAAGGCCAAAAACATCTTCATAACGATATCCTCAACTGCGCCCTTAAAAATCACTAAACAAGAAGCCGCCTGGGCAGAATTGAAATGTCATCATCTATTGTCTAACAATCACACATAGTTTAGCAACTGTAACTGTGTGTGTGTGTGTGTGTGTGTGTGTGTACACCTACCTTGTGCAGCCACAGAGGTAGAGTGTGTGTGTGTACGGACGCCCAGCAGTACGAGTCCACATAAGCGGCCTGCCTCCAGGAGAAGTTGCTCGGAGCGAAACAGCTCATCTGGGTACCTGAGACACCAGAGGAAGAGGAAGAGGAAGAGGAAGAAATGAAGCACAGTAGTTGGTTTTTTCTATCATTATTATTTGAACATTTTAATCTGCAGACTTCTCTCAAGAAAAACAGATCAGGTTGTTCGTCTGTTTGAAATTGCTGGATTTTAAGACGTTTTTGAACCTCTTAAATATATTTAAAAAGGTTCAAAGTTCATGTAATGATGGAGTAAGATGTTTCTTTTTCTTCAGGATATCTGCTCTGTGCTTTAATCTAGAGCAGGGGTCTCAAACTCCTGGCCCGCGTCATTTTATGTGGCCTGCGAATCCGCCAGCAAAAAAAAAAAAAAAAAAAAAAAAGTTAGACTTGATAATAAAAATATCCCCATAGTCGAAATTATGAGATAGAAAGTCGAAGTTATGAGATAGAAAGTCATAACTATGATAGAAAGTCATAATTCTGAGATAGAAAGTCAAAATGATGAAATACTTAAACACAGCAGTCACAGAAGCAGCTCTTTGGCTGGTTACTGTACACTTGACATGGAAATGTATTGCGAGTACATTGAAGACTACTTTAAACGTGACTTTAAAACACATGAAATACTTCACGTGGGATTGTGCAAACGCACCCATGAAAGGATTTTAAGCATTGAACAAAGTTATTGTAATAACTTGTTTGACATTTGTCTTTGCTATTTTCTTTAATAGTTTGATCTTTGACAGAGTAATGTGGGTTTATTAACCCTAACTTAAAAGGATTTAAGTTATAATAACAAATGTGCTTCAATATATTTTACATTTATATAACTGCATGTACAATATTTTTACACTTGAATAAACAATAATCAAATGCAGAGACAGTTATTTAACAATATGTTAGGAGTAGTTACATTTACAACCGGCCCTTTGTGGGCGACCATGATGCTGATGTGGCCCTGAGTGAAAATGAGTTTGAGACCCCTGATCTAGAGCAGCAGCAGCTGTGCCGACCAACATGACCAGGCTACGATCAGCCTAACCTGAAACTACTGTGAAGCTTCCTGAAATAAGCCTCTGGACTGGACCTAGACTTGATCCCGGATCTTGATCACGAAAACGGACTCGGTACGTCTCGACTCCAGCCCCCCCCACTCACCGACCGAAACCTCTTGAGCGAAGGCCAGAGAGATGAGGAGGAGGGGCAGGCCCACCGCCACGCAGGTCACCATCTTGTCCACGGCCAGCTCCGTCCGGACGTTGCGGTACCGGGCATTGTTGGGGTCCTTCAGCAGGAAATCGCTGAACACGTACTCCGTGGCCACGTGGGCGATGGCCATCTCACCGCTCTTCTGTTAACCGGCGGCGCATCAATAACACCTGCGCACACAAAAATTAGGAAGCATCAGATATTCATTCTGCGTATGATATTTAAATGTTTCTGTTCAGTTTTAGATTATTTCATTTGCACAATGTAAAATACACAAACGAATAATAATCACAGTGCAGGAGGAGGCAGACAACACACTGGGCTTGTTTCCACCTAAATAATGTACAAATGAATACACAGAAGTTAGGACGACATCCTATTGATAGCAAAGTATTTGAACCAGATATATAATAACACAATAACAATACATTATCAACAACAAAAAGCAAAAAAAAATGTGTGCAGATGTGTATGAGTGCCTGTGTGTGTACATTGGCAACGATACTTGAGGAAAACAACTAAAACAGCAATTAAACGGTCTTTACAGACTCTTTCGAAACATTTTATAGAGGAACAAATGTTTTGTCCGGTGGGAGAAGACGCTCTGTAATTTGTCAGCCCTAAATATTTTTGAAAATGGACCTCTGCAAGTAAGAAATGTAGAAAGATTGACGAGTTGAGTAAGAATGAACCTGTGAATTTACTTTAAATTAGGTCTGGAGCTGATCGGGAATATATTCCTTTCACCCGAGAGTATCTTATAAATATAAACACATATTTCAGAAGTATTGATGTCAGAAGTAGTAGTAGTAAAAGTACTCTCCCAAGCTATGTTATAATATGAAAGATGGGGATACGTTATACTGTGCTAATCCTCCTGCCACACCGTCTTAAGCTCTCTGCCTTCTGGCTGGTCAGGGAAATTGAATTTGTGGAATGCAAATCAAGGCGTCCGGTAAACAGCCTGTGGTGATTTGAGGTAAAGCACAGTAGACAACCACAGATTATGATACCACACTGCTGCCTACTTCCCCACACTCTGACACACTTCAACCTAAATGAAAGCGGCATTACTTTGATGGTTACGATGTTCACTAACTTTGTGACGATGGCCGCTTTAATAGCCTCGAAGTAAGAGCCACACGTGTCTATAAAGTCATCTTAATCTTGTATTTATATTCTTAATATGTGAGAAATTCAACAATGGCAAATCTCTTCCACTTTTGTTAACATTTCCTCATTTACCATGTCTCTCATGCATGATCATTCTAGGGTCACGTGCATTTTGTCCAGACAATTATATGTTTCGCTTCACTTTTTTTTGTTGTTGCAATTTTAATGATACATATTTCTCGAAATCTGATAACCTCATTTGATTCCTGGCTTCTTTCCTTCGTCCTATTAGAACTTGAAGCTGCAGTTAACAACAGTAGTTGAATCTCAGCCTGATGTATTCTCAGGTATCTTAAACGTGCAGACACAATAGACCTGTGGCTGTTCGCCTTGTGTGATGTTGTCCAGCCGGTCAGTCCTCATCAGTAATGTGATGCAGCTCTGGCTGCTTTTGAGGTTAAAAAGTGGTGAAACATGTGAGCTTATTTATCAAAAACAACTCATGACTGTCTGCCCACAACATCATGTTTTGCATGTATAGTAGCATTTCATAGTCACTTTAATTCATTACATTTTTCCGCAACAAAAAATAAATCATTTGGAACCTAGGTTAACTTTGAGTACGTTATTTAACTAACGTTAGCTATGAGCGGGATCAACACACGCCCCTAATAAAACACCCGTAATACACGGACTTTAGCATGACTTCAGTTAAAGCAGTAACTTAACACTCACCGGTGGTTCTCATAACAAACTAGCGCTCGTTTGTATTCACCGCAAAACCGGATAATGAACTTACCTACCGACCTGCTCCCGCCAACTTGTATGTGTCAATTCTACACAACTTCTTCAGCGGGAAAGTTAACTAATATGTGTTTTAAACGATGTGGCAGACTAGACGTTCAATGAGACACCTCGAAAAGCTCAATTCAGTCTTCTTCCTGTGAGACAAAAAACTTCTTCCGTCCCCCTTAAAAAACTGATGCCTTCAAGTGCAAATCCACAGCAGCGATTTTCCAGTTTCATTGCTGCCTTCAAATGGAGCTCGTGAGCTTGTTTTGGGCAATCGAGTACGTACATTCGAGAACACGCTATTGTTTGTTTTTTGAAGGTTCATTCCCAATGAACGGTGGCGAAAGAAGTATTCATCGTTCACATAGGTAAAATATCTATATAACAGTGTAAAAAATACGGTGTTACAATTAAAAGTTCCCCCATTTACAATCTTCAGTAAAAGTACACAAGTATCAGCATCAAACTATACTTAAAGTGTCAAAAGTAAAAGTGCTTATTATGCAGAATGGCCCCTTTTAGAATAATATGTATTGTATTACTGGACAGTAATTAGTGATGCCTTCATGTGATCATCTCTTTAATGTTGCAGCTGGTAAAGGTGGAGCTGATTTTAATTACTTAATACTAGTATAAGCTACAAAATAAATGCAGTTTAGTAAGAAGTACAGTATTTGCCACTGACATATAGTGGAGTAGAAGTATAAAGTAGACATAAAATTGCAATATTCAAGTAAAGTACAAGTACCTCAACATTGTGGCCTACAGTAAAATATTTGTAGGCTGACAGACATTCCACAACTGCCCATGAAAGATATTTACTTTTGTTTTAGACTCATTGCCAAGCATGAAATGTTGAAATTAAGAAAATCAACAAACCAGGAAATCACTATTTGGGAAAAATGAAAACGTCATATTTCGTCAGCTGCAATAAAAACTGAGCTCCTGCTTCCAGTTTGAATGCAGCGTATTACGGACACACACATTCTATGTTCAAATGTGAAACAGTATAAATTCATCCTTCTACAGAGGCCCTTAAGTCCCAAAAGATGTTTTTGTTTTGTTTTGTTTTTTTACTGTACAAGATACACTTGTAACCACGAGATAATTAATTAATAAATACAACTTGTGAGCACAACATAAAAAACATCAACTTTAGTGACCTCGGCGGCTAAATTGCGATAAAAACACAATATATAAACATTGTGCGTATGGTTTATATACAGTATTTGTGGTCTGATTGTGAGATATTTCCAACAGTCCGTGAAGGCAGCATCCTCATGGGCAGCGTGACTATCTACGCAGCATGCAGTGGTACTGTGGTTTCATGGAAGAGACCGAGGGATCCTTCGTTTGTTTTATAAAGAACAACAAGCTATACACATCAAACTAATCACCAAGAATAACATTGCAGCGTCAGTTTGTTGTTCAGACCCCCGTTAGGTGTCTAATGTCTGTGGGGGATTGATGAAGAGTGAGTAAATGCTAGGCTAACGTTACTTATTCTGGAATCGTTAAAGCAATATAAAACAAACCATTTTGAAATGTTTTAGCTCTATCGCGTTGAATTCTGGGCATTTCTCGCTTTGCCCTCCCTGGTCCTCCCAACTTCTCGCAGCTGCGTCAAGTTACTATAAGATATGCACAGTTACCGGAAAGGGATGTATTGCTTGCCTAAAATAAGAGCATACCGTGTGTGCCTTACGGGAACATAAACAAGAACAATATTTACATTGCTCTGTTAAGCGTAATCTATTGGGTTTAAATGTAGTCTACGGAACTATAAGCGGTCATCTACAGCCTTTACTATCGTTTTATTGATTAACGAACACAACGTACGTCCCCAAGTGGTTTTATTTTGAAAATGTACACGGAAGCCGTGTGCTCTTGTACTGTCCAGATTGACACCGGTAGATGCTTCACTCCCTCCATTCATTTCATTCGCGCACAGTCGCATCCTAGCAGCGAGCCCTCCCCTCCTGTTTCTCTCCGCCTGGAAAGATGGCTGCTCCGGTGGTGGCGAGAAGCTCCGGCCCGGCGCTCTGCCCGAGCTTCGCGGAGGTCTGTTCTTTTCTGGAGCGATTCGGAGCGGTACTGGATCTGCCCGAGATGACTTTCCCGCAGATGGAGCGGTATCTGCGGGACACAAAGACAGGTGAGCGATCGGTGGTTAGCTGTGGCGGCGGTGGTGGTGGTGGGGCGAAGAAGTGGTAGAAGAGCTGCGACACTCGAGAACCGAAGGAGAAGGGGGTCCCCCACCATCACCATCGTGAGGATGATGAGGAATGCAGAAAACGTAGAGTGTGTGGCCCAACAGCAACACAAGACTGGGGGTTTAGTCCGCGAGCTTCTACGCTTTGAGGCACATCTTGGCCCGGGTCAGAGTCGAGTCCCTCGAAGTAGAAACGCGGGGTTTTTTTGTCCAAGTTTCTGAGGGAATATTTGGACAGAGAAAACGTAGACCGCTAACATAAAGCTAGCCCCACTCCAAATTCGACACACTTTGCGCTGTGTTGTGCTAAAGTTAGGGGAAACGGATACGGACGGGAGTAAAACATGGGCTCGCGAACGTTACCCAGACGGAGTTAAGTTGGAGTCAAGTGACAGATTGTCGATGGTGTTGTCAAGGCTGGTATCGATCTGTTCACGCTACATTTGGTGGGGGAGCCATGATGCAGCACTGCCTAGTGACCACACACAGCCAACCAGCTAGCTCCGGAGCGTTGTCAGGTGTAATTTTTCACCGGCCTTGCCTCACAGCCAGTCGGGTCTGGAATGACATCAGTGTCCCCTGTGTCTTTGTGTCGACCGTGAGCTCACGAGGGGATCATTTTCTACCTTCGATCTGCGTTATAGACGACTGTCAAAACAGAACGACTGATGTTAGCTAAAAACAAGGGATGTTATTTTTTTTGGCCGTTGGTAGAGGGTACTGTCAAATCTGCACAGGCGCAGTAGGGAATCTGGCTCCTGCTAACTGGTTAGCATCGACGATCCAACTTTTAGTCAAAGTACAACACAGACCGCTCCACTTGTTTTACCGCGTTATCGTTTGTCAGAAAGAGATGATTTATATTCGCAACTGTCGTGTTTGTAGCTTAGCAAACCGTGTTAGCCAGTCTTGCTTTATAGCCAGCGTGTGTTAAATTACCGTTAACTGTTAGTTATGTTGCTTCTATTAGCCTCTGTACCGTAGCGTTTTACAGAATGAAGTTAGACCCCACGGCTAATATTTCTACCGTAGTTAGCTGTTACACTTCTCTGACATTTCAGACTCGGACATGATTAACTACGTTTTCTTTGTCGGGATTCTGAGTTTGTGTTCCTGTAAAAATAAATAAGTAAATGTAGAAAACTTCAGTTCACTGTGCCAGGCAGCAGAGACAACTGTAATTTCCTGTGAGCCCGTGGGCTCCGTAACAGTCTCACACAGACCGCACATTAGAGCTTTATGTTTGTTTGAGTTACATTATGTTCCAAGGTTGTATTTTTAGTTATTATAGCGTGGTTACAAATGCTAATGGGCTTTTGTTTTGAAGGCAGAACCTTTTTAACAGTATTATGATAGATTAAACATAAATCCTCACACAATAATTGTCTTGCATCTTTAATACAAAGAAAAAAACAATAAATTATAAGGGTAAAAAAGAGACTCTGGGAAGGAATGGCAAGAGGTGTGTTTTGATGCAGTCTAGAATAAATCATCCATAATGTCACCATGCTGGTAAATATCATGCATTTTATAGCTTTTCTGCCTGCAGCATTTTTAACAGAGGTCAGGTACATGTCAATATCTCATACCCTCAAAGTAGTCTGTTTTGTATTGAGGCATTCATCTTATTGATAATAATAATATTTCCAAGACCATAATGTGATGAATTTTGGAATTCATAAAAAGTTGTAGAACATCATTTTATTCAAAGTTTGGCCAACCAGAGTGTGACTGAACATTCACATCAAACCTAGATTTTTTTCTTCGTGGTATTTAATCATTAGAAAAGAGAGGATTTCAACTCTTATTCTGAAACGGCAGAAAAATAGACTCAGTATTGATAACTGGCGAACGATCACTTTTTAAAACGCCTATAAAACATTGGCATTAATCTTAGCTGATCCTCTGCAGTTTGGATGACAAGTCTTAACTGATGAATGTGGTTTGATCTTTACAGACTATAATGAGTCCCTTGAAGACAACCTGAGATTTTATTTAGATATTTTCATAAGCGTTTTCTCTATGGCTGTGTTTACATTTACACAACTCATGCACTGTGCGTGGGAGAAAAGAGGGAACATCTGATCTGAAGTTCTCCAACGTTAGAGTGAAAAAAGTTTTCCTGAAAATGTAGCCGTGAGATTCCGGCGAGCACCCAGGAAGTAGCTGGCACTTCATTTTTTACTGAGATCTGTTTACCAAGCACTCGGTGAACACCGTGAAACATTCAGAAGCTAGCACATCACCACCAGTTATCTTTATTATACTTTCAGTGCAGAAATGGTTTTTAATAAGTGACCCAGGCAGTGCAGGAAACACATTGCACACCATAAGCAGCAGTGTGTTTTTATTGTTTATCTCAAAGCATTTAAGTTGCGCTGATAAACCGCCTCCTTTTTGTTCATTCACCAGTGGTTGGTCGTTTTCCAACAGCTGCTGGAAAAAAGATGTGAAAAGAAAATACTAGTGTTTGGATTGTAAAGGCGTCAAGTTGTTAAGTATTTTGTTACACACCTGTTTTTCATGGTTAAAAAAAGGGTAATTTCACACATTCAGTATTATGTTGAATCTTGAACCCACTTTCTATATTGTCATGAACACAACACTGTACCACACTTGGTAATTACAACGTTGGCTGTGCGTTGCAATATGATTCACCTGCAGAAGGGAAATGATATTAAGCCTTTCTGGTCAGGTCAGTGTCGGCTAAATGGAAAAAAAACAACCCTGCAGTTGGCTTTGAAGTTTTGCTTCAGGGCACTTTGGCAGGCTGAATGTTAGTCGTGGCAGCGACTTGTGAAAAGTTAATGTGTCTAATCGTCTTCGTTGCAGTTCCTAAACCGCTTGTGGAGCTCCACGTGAAGCTGCTCAGAAAACTGGGGAGGTCTGTGACTACTGACCGCTGGGAAAAATACCTGGCTAAGGTGAGGGC